CAATTGTTTTTGTGAACGAAATAAACAGACATTTGTTTTGTTGAATGATTTGCACTCAAAATACCAAACATTTAGAGATAATCCAAGACTCGGATCAGTTGGCGATACACTAACACATCCCACAACTGTCAACAGCACCGGTATGTCATCAAAGGAGTCAATACTTCTGACACACGATACTAATGAAGAGACAATCGATGGCAACAATAGATCAACTGATGGTTCAGATAATGAATTAGTGGAAACATTGGACAACTCGTGTCTACCGAAACCGTTCACAAGTGGTCTATCTGTTAGTCGACTGCCGAGGAATATAAGACTTGTGATACAAACGCGTGAAGACAAGAAGCCATCGATTCCTTCACAACAAACGCCACAAATGATTAGTATTTCACGAAAACTGACGACAAAGAAGTTGATCCAAAAACACCAAACGGTTGACAATCCGCTCAAGACTACGAGTTTATGGCCAGTAATGAGTGGTAATACTGTTCCCGAAGAGCAACAGAAATGCGATCATTTGTGTCGGAAGTGTTCAAAGAGTTTCGAGACATTCAGACAATTGTTAGAACACGAGAAGTCGTGTCAATCGGTATATCAATACAAGTGTTCATTCATTACATGTAAGCAATCGTATGAAACTCTGGAAGAACATCACAAACATATGCGTGAAATACATTTGAAACACACGTGTATTGAATGCCAGAAGACCTTCGCGTCACCGGAACTGCTCTCAAAACACCAAAAGTGTTGTAAACGAAAGAAACAATTGAATGATTTTGAACCCAAAATGGATGAAACAGAGCCTGAAATACCGGAACCGCCGATTGTGTGCACTCATGAGGGCTGTGGCAAAGAGTTTAACCTGAAGTCCAAACTGGAATGGCATCGATTCACTCACACCACTGAACGGCCGTTCGCTTGCGATCACCAAAACTGTGGCAAACGATTCAAAACGTTAACGCATTTAAAGGGACACAAGAAAATGATGCAATGAAGTCCAAACTGGAATGGCATCGATTCACTCACACCACTGAACGGCCGTTCGCTTGCGATCACCAAAACTGTGGCAAACGATTCAAAACGTTAACGCATTTAAAGGGACACAAGAAAATGATGCACCCGATTGAGGGCCGCCCCCACCGGTGCCCGCAAGCGAACTGCGACCAAGTGTTCAAAAGGGGTACACATTTGTTGACACACATGAAGAACTGTCACCGCGACTATGGGTGCGATTGGCCCGGATTTGTTTTGTTTTGTTTTGTTTTATTGAAAATTAGAGATCAGTTTCTGCGCCAAAATAAAAATACAGAAACTTTTGTACAAATGTTTGGTTCAAATTGTTTAACAAATATATCGATTGGATTCATAA